TTAACTTCTTTAAGTAAATATCACGGCCCCAGTCTGTGGAGAGGTCCGCGCCTGTTATACGGATCCCACCTGCCCGTTGCTCGGCAGCGTGTCCGTCATTATGACCTGCAGGATAAGATCCACCCCTCTCTCCATCCAAGGCTGCGGGCCTAGACTTTGACATATGTGGTCTAACCAATACAAGATATGTGCTGCCTATTTTCTTTTTGGCAGATATTTTTATGCAGATTTTTTCTTTGTCTTCCTCCATTTAAACATTTAAAAATGACACAACTATAACAGCTGTTATGCAAGTTTAATGTAAACCAAAAAAAAAACTTGATCCTGGGAGAACTATGCAAATATCAGCCAAATACATCTGCTGCCTGATGTCTATGTTTAGAAGGGCTGGCTGATTAATTGAGAAATTCAAATATTTGAAATTTTTGTGAAGATTATTTTTCTCTCTTTTGGGCTTCCGTAGGTCAAAGTCACATCAGTTCATCACTTTTTCCAGGGCTGAAACAATTCATCGGATTAATCCTTAAGTTGAGTGTAGAGACCCGCTTAGAGCAGCAATGATACCAAGATATTAAAAACAAATGTATAAACATTTTTCATACAAGATTTAAAAAAAAAAATGTCTGTCAATAAGCTCTATTGAGAATTTCTCAAGTGGAAAAATTTGAGCTTTATTGGTTTAATTTCGTAATTTCCTCATAAGTAATACCAAGCTCTCTGTGTGGTGCCACTAGCTGTAAACATTTAGTTTATTCTATTTTTATTGGTGTGAAACATGATTATTTTCTTGCATCTTTCACAGCTTGAATTTTATTGCTCTTTACATTAAGGCCACCTCTCTGAGCTGATGATTGAACAAAAAAGGAAAGTTTTTGAAAGAAATGTATGTTTTTGAATGAGGAAACAAATTGATTAATCAGATTTTGAAGGAAAGAAAATTAGATTTGATTTTTAAACCATATTGCTGAGCTCAAATTTCTAGTTTTTACATTCTGTTGAAGTTAAACATATAACACAAAGTTTTGTTTTATAGCTCAGAAGAATCTTATTTTTCGACTAAATTATCCAAATGATGTAAAGGTGATTTTCTCATGACTGTCTGAACTAAAGAGTCTCTGTCCTTTACTTTTAGCTCCCTGTCACACCCTTTATATTACTGTCTAAAACCTCTCAGCTGACCTGAGCAGGTGTGCCGCTGTGTTTATTTAATTTAGAGCTGGTTGGCTGTCATGTTTGCTTGAGGTGGAATTATTCTGAACAGCATTGAAAGAATGCAACAGAGCTTGACAACGAGAGGAAACCTCACCACTCTTTGTTTTTTTGTTTTTTTTTAAAGGCGGCCTGAAGGTAACGTGTGAGTACTTGGCCTTGAAGGAGGGCGTCCTGTGCGAAGAGGTGCTGCTGCTGAGCGAAACCAACGACGATGTCTGCGTCAGGGTCAAAGTTCACGCCAGAGTCATGGGTGAGGTTATTTTAACAGCATGATAAAAACAGCCGACCTCATTTTTTCCGCGTTGAAGAGCTCGTATTGCTCAGCTAACTCTGACCTCAGCTGCTGGGTGAGCTCTTTGAATTGAGTAATGAAGGAAATTCTGGTTTTGCAGAAGTCACGTATCACCCTCTTTAGCACTTGACTTAGAAATTAGAAAAGCATCAAACACTGAGTTGCTATTATGGAACCTTTAGATGCTTTCTGTTAACCTAATAAATACACTGAGGACAAAATCATATTTCATCCATATTACCTTTTGTTTATCTTTATATGCCAATCATCTAACGCTGATTTGGGATTAAATAGTTTCCCAAATTTCTTAGAACTGCTAGATTTAATTTATTTCTTGAGAACCAAAAGATAGAGCAGTCCTTAAAAGTATTTAGAAAATAGAAAAAAGTAGAATAGAAATTCCCTTGATTGTCCCACAATGGGGAAATTCTGATATTTATTTATTTATATATGAACTCAGAATTCTGCCAAAAGGGCACACACTTAATACTGTTTGCAGTTTACCATTCTTCACATATGTTTTGAATGCGTATAAACTCAATACTATGAGCCACACAATTTGTCGCTAGCGCGATTTTATGCTACTCTGCTTTCTGTTGCTTTTTTTGGAGATGTAGATTAAATTAGACAAAATTAAATTATCATTAACAAAACTGAACAAATTATGAAAACTTGCATTAATAAATATTTGTTTACTGCAATACTAGTAAAAGATAGACCTTGCAAAAAAAAAAAAAACACAAAAAAAAGGCTGAAACTGGAATCCGAGTTTACAAAACTAATTAAAACTAACCGAATTTTAACAGAGTAAATGCTTAGTTTCCTTTATGTCTTTATCATAATGCAGGAGGTCGTGTTCCCATTCGCTTTTTTTCTTTTCTTGGCTATACCGCTCTATACCAAGGGACAGCAGGTACAGCAGTCTGGTCATTTGTGTCGCTGCAGCCGTCTGTCCTTATCTGGGATTTCATTACCGGAGCTAAGAAGGTTACGTTTTCCACCTTGTTCGTTCATCTGTTAGCAGGATTATTTGAAAAGTTATTAACGGATTTGAATCCGGTATTGAAGAGATCATGCACTGAAACAGTTACATTTAGTTTATTCATCAAATCTAGCTTGCAAATCCAGCAGGCTATTGAGATGCTATAAGAATTAAGATGAATGCATTCACCGTTATTTTTTTTTTTATTATAGGTGTTATTAATGTGGTATGGCAAGCAATATTATAATGAAATTGGTGGGTGGGGAGATTACAGTAATTCAGTCAATTTAAACAGAAATCGTTTACAACAGGGGCAAAAGTTATGGTTAAAAATGTATTTATTTTGCATTTTAAGACCCAAAATAAGTTAAAGGCGAGACTGTCGCTAAGTTAAACTCTAATATCTGACCAGTTGGTCACAATTTCTGTGATTTAAAACAAAAAAGGACAGCTTTGTTTCTTAATACCTGAGAACTGAAAACTTTTCCTCCTTAGAACTGAGGATGTCCTAAAATGTGCTCTGTACTGGGGGCTTCTGGCTTGCTTGGACTGTAATTTAGCTGGTGTGCTGATGCCCCCTGCTGGTGATTATGTGAACTGACTTTTTTTGTTCACATTCAATTCAATTCCTAGATAGAATCTTACTATTTTGATCATGCTTATCATTATTTTATCATATTGTAAAGAGACAGTGATAGGTTTACATAGTTAATGAAAAAAACATATTTTGCAGGTTGTTAAGTAACATCCTGATAGAGAATATTATTATAAAATATTTGCACCAGCTGTTATTTCATATTCATCTTTATTTTCAGTTTTTTTATTATACGTATTTGCATAAATACATTAAATACTTGTGGTATATTTGAGGATAATGTATGTTTGTTGTGCTGCTTTTCATCATGTCTATTTTACCCTCTTAGTGCAGCATTCTGAACATCTGTCCAGATGTCAGCTTGTAATTTAAGCTTGGATGCAAACCAGATCAATGGATTAGGCCGTGCCTCCACCTCAGTTGTTGTTGTTGTAGTTGGCTGCACTATGGCTCTTAGATACAATCCTGAATAATGAATATACTACATCCTGCTCTAGGCTGAGCCATCTGTCTTTATCAGATACACCTAATATTTAAACCTTATTAAATGAAGGCATTTGGTATTTTCTATCATATTAAGATCACAAAGCATGTTAGCACCTTTATAACTATTACAGAGATTACAGATAGGATTGCTGGAATTTCAGGGGATTTTATGTACAGCCTGTTATGAAAGACAAGGAAGAGTCCTACTAAATTGAGGCGTTTCTGCAATGCTTGTCAAAGGTGTTGAAATATAGTTGTTATTTTCTAGTGTACAGCAGATTTGTTGGGATCGGAAAAGGAAACAAAGTTGTATTGGCCAGGAATTGAACCCTGGGCACCTAAACAGTTTCCCATTCATGTTCTATGGTAGTCCTGAACTACTATGGATGTAATACCCTATTTGACCACTACCTGATCTGGCGCTGTTTCGTCTAATTTAGTGGCAAAGACAAAACACTGTACAGGTCCTTTACAAAATATTAGCAAATTGTGATAAAGTTAATTATTTTCCAAATTGTAATGGTAAAACTTGAACATTAATATATTTTAGATTCATTGCATGCTAACTGAAATATTTCAGGTCTTTTATTGTCTTAATACGGATGATTTTGGCATTCAGCTCATGAAAACCCAAAGTTCCTATCTCACAAAATTAGCATATTTCATCTGACCAATAAAAGAAAAGTGTCCTTAATACAAAAAAGTCAACCTTTAAATAATTATGTACAGTTATGCACTCAATGCTTGGTCTGGAATCCTTTACAGAAATGGCTGCTTCAATTTGGAGTGGCATGGAGGCAATCAGCCTGTGGCACTGCTGAGGTGCTATGGAGGCCCAGGATCCTTCGATAGCGGCCTTTAGCTCATCCACAGTGTTGGGTCTTGCATCTCTCAACTTTCTCTTCACAATATCCCACAGATTCTCTATTGGGTTCAGGTCAGGAGAGTTGGCAGGCTTGTTGAGCACAGTGATGCCATGGTCAGTAAACAATTTACCAGTGGTTTTGGCACTGTGAGCAGGTGCCAGGTTGTGCTGAAAAATAAAATCTTTATCTCCATAAAGCTTTTCAGTAGATGGAAGCATGAAGTGCTCCAAAATCTCCTGATAGCTAGCTGCATTGACCCTGCCCTTGATAAAACACAGTGGACCAACACCAGCAGCTGACATGGCACCCCAGACCATCACTGACTCTGGGTACTTGACACTGGACTTCTGGCATTTTGGCATTTCCTTCTCCTCAGTCTTCCACCAGACTCTGGTACCTTGATTTACAAATGACGTGCGAAACTGAGCAACTGTCCAGTGCTGCTTTTCTGTAGCCTAGGTCAGGCGCCTCTGCTGCTGTTTCTGGTTCAAAAGTGGCTTGACCTGGGGAATGCAGCACCTGTAGCCCATTTCCTGCACACACCTGTGCATGGAGACTCTGGATGTTTCTACTCCAGACTCAGTCCACTGCTTCCGCAGGTCCCCCAAGGTCTGGAATCGGCCCTTCTCCACAATCTTCCTCAGGGTCCGGTCACCTCTTCTCATTGTGCAGCGTTTTCTGCCACACTTATTCCTTCCCACTGAGGTGCCTTGATACAGCACTCCTGGAACAGCCTATTGGTTCGGAAATATCTGTCTGTGTCATTCCTTCTTGCTTGAGGGTGTCAATGATGGCCTTCTGGACAGCAGTCAGGTCGGCAGTCTTACCCATGATTGGAGTTCATAGCAATGAACCAGGCTGAGAATTTTAAAGGCCTCAGAAATCTTTTGCAGGTGTTTAGAGTTAATTTGTTGATTCAGGTGATTAGGTGCATAGCTCGTTTAGAGCTAGAGAACATCCATATTAAGACAATAAAAGACCTGAAATATTTCAGTAAGTGTGCAATGAATCTAAAATATATGAATGTTCAAGTTTTATCATTACATTATGGAAAATAATGAACTTTATCACAATATGTTAATATTTTGAGAAGGACATGTATTTACTAATGAGCATTGTTGGAAACAAATATTTGGAAAAATGTTAGTTAAGCTTGATGCTTAAACTTTAAAATATGGGATGTTTTTTACACTTGTGATGGTGTTTTAGCATGTTATGCTTGTGTTCATGCATATATTTGTACCACCACTGTACTGTTTACTATTAATATATTTAATAATTCTATGTAATGTCACGTTTTTTTCTAGTCCTTGCCAAATTTCTATCAAGTGTATGCAAAACATGAAAAAAGGGATCCCTGTTGCAGAACTGAGTATGTTATAGACCACGAGATTATGATCTATAAATTATAAGTATAGAGGGACCTTTTTTATAGCAATTAATTTTGTTGAGCTGTGTAATTAAATCTGTGGGAGTGTTTTTATCTGCTAAGAATTTAGGTGAAACTTTTTGTAGTAAATTGTCTCAAATAGCTCAGTAGAAATCTGATCACAGTATGTATGAATATTAAAACCCTATTGTCTCGTACATGTAGCTGGAGTGGAAAATGTTTTAAAATATGTTTCCTCTACTATTAGACTCAGTAATTAATAATCCTAAGTTTTGGACAAGATTTATTCTAAAAGGTTTTCATGTATTTTGTTGAACATGATCCAATATTTCTTCACCCCATAACAAGAAAAAAAAAATAGAAAATCATCTTTTATCTTGGGAAGATTTGTTGTTTTTCACAAAGGGACTACTTAGCTTTCTTCTAAAATAATGTAGCCCTCTTTTGAGGACAAGCTAAGAGACGATCTCAGTATTTTCAGGGAAGTCCTGAAAGTTTCAATACCGTTTAAGGAAGAAATCAGTAATTAATTCAAGCATTTGTAAAATCGCTGCCTAATATCAGTCTGATATCACTCGTTTTGTCCTGTAGTTTCTTTTTAGTAGGGCCGTAACCAAACTTATTCGAGGTGCATTTCTGACATTCTGTTGCTTTTGCTCATTCTGTTCTTCTATCAAGCAGCACCTTATTGTCAGATTTGCTGAATTATCCCATTATTTATTATTTCTTCCAGATAAATTTAGTTTTCAAAACTCAAAATTAAATGGAAGGGGATCTAAACAGCTCTATTAGAAGCTGGTTTGCCATGTTTATAAGAAACATCTACTTTCTGCATTGATCTAATATTTAGAAATATGTTTTTTTAATAAAAATACAAGATTTAACTTTTATGTTATATAATAATATTAAATATTAAATTTTTACGATTTGTAAATATTTGCTTGTTGAGAATAATTTACACTCCCCATAGATCTGCCATAAAGAAGGTATCTGTGTATCAGAAGAATTTCTTGAGGTAAAAGCAAATTTATTTGTTTTGATTTCTAGGAAAGTCTCAAAATATTGTAATAACTCCTGTTTTCAAGACACACAGAGAAAATCCTATCATAAATAAACAAAAATAATTCAAATGTATTTTTAGTTATTAAATTATTACAGCATTTTGTTTTTTTAGATTAGAGCAAGCGCTGATGCTATCCTTTATTCATAGGTCCTGCTATGTATGCAGAAGAATGTTGTTGTTTTTTTAATCTATGTATTATATACATTATTTAAACATTAAAAATATGTATATGCAAGTGGCCGAATCGTGAGCATGGAGAATTCTACTGGTGATAAGAATATGACAGTGAGGAAATCCCCCACGTCACATACGGAGCCAGCCCCTGGATGCCAGGGTTCAGTGGAGGCCGGGTTTTCCCTGTCTGTACGAGTAAAGCTCAAACAAAGAGGAGATTATCTGATTTCGGTCATCATAGATGGAGAGCTTTCTGTTGAATATTAGAGCTTTGCAGCATCTGCTGCAGCAAACTTCTTTGGTGGAGGATCTATGGGGGCAGACCTTGACCAGAAAAATGTAGAAAAGCGGGAAAAGAAGAAGGGGGAGGGGTATAACGGGGGGTGGTAATAATAAACGAGGGGCGAAAGGATCTTATTTTGCCTGCGGAGCCTCTCAGCCAGCTCTTTGTACATGCTTCCATATTTATTTTTTTTTGTCCGTTTTTTTTTTATACACCACACCAATGGGGGCAGTGTCAAAGCTAAGCCTTGTCAGCAAATCAGAATCCTTTGAAACAAACATGACTTCCTTTTAGGAAAGAATCATGAGCCGTTTCTTAATTCACAAGAACGTGAGTAAGAACTCGTGTCCTCGCCAAGTGTTCTTGAGAAGAACATAAAGTATGGATTATGGGAGAACCGGAGCACAAAGCATAAATCTGGGTCAATTGGAACAGAAGCGTACTCATGACATCACCACAGGCTCAGCACGTCTGGAGCTGCTTTCACCTCCTGTTATTAATAATCTCTAGATAATAATAAATTCTGACTTTTTCATTCAGATAAACACTAATCAAATTAACATTTTGCCAAATAAAACAAAAACATCGCCATCAGTGCCAGCAGGCTTTCACACACGGCTCTGCCTAGACAGGGCTGCTGCAGACGGGCTAAGATTAGACTTACTTTCACTGAAAATTGACACCAAAAATTTTATCTAAAGCAGGGATTCTCATTTTTTTTTTATATATAGAAGCGCCTATATTTATCAGAACAGAGTCATTGGAGGAGCTACGCACTATATAGTCATAACATTTCATTAATTGCCTCTATTGATATCGCTGTTAGACATGTGTGATCATTTCCGTAGCCTCCTAACATCATCTTTAACCTGTGCCCCCAGATCGTCACCACGGTACACCCATGCTGCTGGAGGGGGTCCGCTGCATCGGCACGGAGCTGGAGTACGACTCGGAGCAGAGTGACTGGCAGGGATTCGACTGAACCTCAAGGCTCCTCCTCCAAGTCACATTTGCAGAAAACATCACATTCACAGTCGCACATCATCCGCCATGTCAGAGGTTTACACCCAGCTAAATCCACAGGACCCTCAACTTCTCACACAGGAAACGAATAAAAAAGCTTCCTTTCTGGTTTGTGTCTGATTAGTGAGCAGGAGACGGCTGTCGGCCTCTGGGGCGTCAGTGTTTAAGGTCAGACCTTAAAATGGGAAACATTCCTCCGCTGCCACTGTCTCAGCAGCAGCAGCATCAACCTTCTTCCCACCTGTTCATCTTGTAAACTGTGTTTTCCTTAATAAACCTGTAGGGGGCAGCATTACCCTATAAATCAGCCTTTGATCCATTTCAGCACTGCTTCTCCAGTTCTTGCTACTCTTGGGTTTATAGTTTTAGGTGGATTTAAGGGCTCATGCATTAACTATAAAATGTTTGCTTCTTAAGAAGGAAATAATAATGAGGAAAATCAGTCAAAGATCATCTAATGTCTGTTTAATTAAGAAAGGGGACTGTTTAGCACTGTCTGAGTTGGTTCCTGTATCTGTAGGTTTTCATTTGAAATGCGTCTTTTCATTCTGTAACTGACCTTTTCGCTCTGCTCTCTGACTTTAACCTGCTCTCGTCATTACTACTTCTTGTTGCTCTCCAATAGCTGCTGCTTAGGAGACCCTTAAAAAATGGGTCAGGGTATTTTAGTAAGGTCGGGTGAGGAATGCATGTGCAGCATCTGTGTTAAAAGGAAGGAAGAAATGATGCCTCATAACAAGCTCTCTGGGTTAATAGCACAAATCTGCAGCCAGCTTTCAGGCTTTTTTTCCATTTCTTACTGTAATAGTTTAATTATTAAGAGGTCTTGGTTGTAATAGTTGAGATTTTTTCATCTTACCAATGTTCTCAGCTGCATTCATTTAAAGGTGAACTTATAAGTCAACAATGCACTGCAAAAACAATATTTTTTATGTTGATTTAGGTCTGCAGATATCATTTTCTTATGCCAAATTCTCTAAAAATGAAAAATGCATGTTTCTATTTTTTTTTGTTTAACTTGTTGACTTTGTTTTTTTTTTATTATTATTATACTGCCTTTGTTCAAGCCATCCATCAGTTAACTAACTTATGACTCAACAATGTGAATAATCCTATTTTCTATAATGAAATATAAACGTTTAAGCGGCATATATCATTTTTACACCATCTTGAGTGTTTTCAGGCTTGTTTTTTGATTATATTGGTATATTTATTTCCAGGTTGGAAATAAAGAAATATGTAAAAAGAAAAACAGAGGTAAAAGGCAGCTGAGGAATCTGCAGTAATACACTGAAACAGAATAGACTCATGACATAATGGCTGCCCAAGACCAAAATTAGCAATACCAAAGGCCTCAGCTCATTTTGAAGTTATATTAATGTTATTATTTACCAAAGGGGAGAAGTCATCCTGAGACAAATCTTAGAAATCTAACCAAGTGGCAGCCTAATGGAGGGATTAAAAGGCGCTCTGTGTAGAGTCCAATCTGCCTTTAAGTCAGTAGAGGGGTGAAAATCAAATTCCTCATATAAATTATGCTCCAGATCTAACCAGCATTACCACTTTAGGATCTCACAACAGCATCCCCTAGAAATATATATTAAAATCTCCCATTTTCCCCTCTGCATTATCAATCGATATTTAACCCATTTGGCTTAACGAATGTCGCTGTGAAGATGTTAATCTGAGCAAACCAACTCATTCCATACACGCTTTTTAACTGTCTGCTTTTTTCTCATGTTGATTGATCCTCAAAGCTACTTCCGGCTAATGCTACATGGTCGATGGAAGGGAGGCTAAATCACTTGGCATCAGACAGTCGGGTCTTTATTCGACTCGAAAGGGAAAAGTTGATGCTGCTTAAATCTATTTATCAGTAAAAACAAAAAAAGAACAAAATATAATACTACCTGATCAACCTCATGCCTACAAACAATCCTCAAACCCACTTTATCGGTCTGGCTGTTAACCTCTTGAGCTAGGAGTTGTAGATGGGATATGATCCCTCATATTTGGGTTGTTCCTTCCTCTAAATCCCAAGATGTCAGTTGTTTCATACAAAGTGGTTCCACCATAGAGGCTGTTTTTCCTTTTCCTTCTTCCATACCTTTAGTTTACTTCCCTTGAGGGCACATTTCCTCCTTTCATCATATTTGAATCAAGATTTTTTTCATTTTCATCACTACATATCCTCCCCACGTTTTTGTTTAAAAAAAAAAGTCCTTATCAGTTTTATTACTGTGAGAAACGTCCAGGTAGCGCTGTTAAAAATATGTCATCCTTATATGGGAGTGCCTTCCTGTTTTTGTAAGGCTGCTTTTGAGTCAAGAATGTGTTCTTTATCCACTTCAAAAACACAATAAAAAGGCTAATTTGGGTTTGTGTCTCTATCTTTCAAGATTTGTAACTTTAAAGGCTATGTCTCAGATTATATATGCCCCATTTGAAAAAGACCGGGAAATTTACAAAGCCTTTGGAAACACTCATGTGACAAAAGTGCCTTTTCAATTCCACCTTCAGGTCTCCCTTTGTTTTATCACTTCTTGTTAGCTACCCTCTTTAACTATCAGACAGAAACACCTTTGAATTGCACTGGTGAATAAAAAAAAAATGGAATTTAAAAGAAAAGGATCAATTTAAATATCTTTGCCTTCATAGTCCAGAGTTCTGCCTGTAAAACTTTTCCACCTGTCTGTCTTTGATCCCTCGCATCGGTGCCATGATCAAAGCGCTAATTTAGACCCTTTTCCCCCCTGCTTTGACATGATTCATGTTTTTTTTTTTTTTTTTTTTCTCAAGGTAGTTAAGCCTTAAGTTTAAACAAACAATCCAAGGTCTCTTCTCTTTATTTTAGCACAAGCTTAGATTTAAACTGATGTTTTCTGAAACGTGATAGGTCAATGTTTTGTGTTAGTGTAAAAGCAAGCATCTTTATAGCATAGTTTTTCAATGACTGTAGTGCTTTAACGTGTGCAGAATAAACGAGTGTTTGAGGCGCGTCTCTGTGTCGTTTCTTTGACTGACCGCCAGGTGGCAGTGTAAGCTGATAAACACCCACATTGAACCCGCTCATGTTATTTTGCTCTAAAGTTTCTCATTTTGTTTTAGATTGCAGAGAATAAAAAATACCATTCGTCTGATGATAAATTAAAAGATTTATTTTATCTGAATATTTTAACACAATATTTAAATCATTTAAAATAGGCTTTTGTTAACATTGACGCACATCCACACCAGAATGTTCAAGTTCATCAATCTGAAAGAAATTCAGATTTTTCACATTTAAATGATAGTTTGCACTTAAATATTTTTTCCCCAATATTATCAGCATTTAGATTTCTATTTCAAAATATTAAAAGAAAAGTTTTAGTATAGTTTAATAGGAATAAAACCTTATCACCTGTTGGCTCTAGAGAATAGAAGTCATTTATTAAAGCTTTAAATGTTCCGTAACAAAATCATTATAGAGAAGCTTTGATGTAGCCTCTTTATGACCTGTTGGCCCTCAAATTATATGATGGGATATAAAGTTGACTAAATGGGCGTTATTACCGTGTTTTATGTATATATAAAAAAAAAAAGGGTAAAAAAATAAACCTACAGTTGCAGAGGGGTTAAGATGACTTATTTCATTCTCCCTTTCCAAAAAATATAATATATAAAATATAAAAAAGGTAAAACTGGAAAGAAACTGGTTTAGTATAAAGATAATTAGAAAAAGAAGGTGATATTAGTGTCCTAAACTCTCTGGAGAAAATGTAAGCTTTATTTGATGTATTTTATTTTTTAAAGCTGCAATATATATATATATATATATATATATATATATATATNTATATATATATAAAGGTAATGTTTATTTGAAGAAGCCTGTTAGTTGCTTCATTAGGAAGCAGTTGTAGATCTCATGACCCAGTATGGCATTTTGTTCAGCATCGACTCTGGTTAGAGGTTTAGTAGAAAGCTGTTTTCTTTGCTTTTATTTTTTTAATAACCCGCATTTTTCTGTAGGTGTTTAACGCAGCCCTGGTTTTGGAACCAGAATTTCCCTTATGAAGTTATCCCAATATATAAAATCGAAATTTGAGTTTAAGTCTCATGGAGAAAAAACCGTCGATGTGAAGGACTTTTTTAATCCTGCATGTAAAAACTTAGTTTGCAGCAAAACCAAAACAAATCGCATCTTAAAGATTGTATCGGTGTATAGGCCTAACTGTAAAATAAATCAGCCTTAGTTTATGCAAAAGTTTTTTTTTTTTAATAGGATAGTTAAAAACTTTTACTTTAATCTAAAACATATACTAATTTAATCTATTTGAGAACTTTCCCGATTTTTATTTTTTTTTTCTCAATTGATATAGTTTTTGGAGCATACATGGAAGTTAAATTAAATTAAGCGTTGGAGCCTTTAAATAAATTATATTTACCTGCTAGATATCATGCGCGCTCTTTTACAGTTTATTTCCCCCCATATCTTGATCTGTTTTGTCGTTAAATCATTTAGTCTTTACTCTAGAAACATCATTTTCTACCCGCCCACTAAATGAAAAAATAATTCTTAACATAGGCCTACAATACAAACCCTCTGGCGCAGTTCATTTATTAAAACGGTCTGATGGGCTCCGATTCACTTCCATTTTAATTAAATCTGCTTTCACGTCTTCTTTCTATAGCCTGCTCTTCACATCACATATTTTAATGTGCCCCTTTCTCCGGATTTTTCTAATAATAACAACAAAATAAAAAATAAAATAAAAATCCCGAAGCATCCAGCGTCCAAAACCAATCCATTAACTCCTGAAAGCGCACTGGCTCTGCAGACCTTTGCACTACTGCTGGCTTTCTAACTTTGCACCGCCTAATTAAAAACGGTCCCACGCAGGGATTTAGTTTGAACCAACCTGCATAGAACCTGTAACATTGTGGGCACTTTAAACCAAACCAAGACAGAATCTGAAATCTACACACGTGGCTCAGATGTGTGCCATTCCTGCACAGATTTGTCTGGGAGCTTGTGTGTGTGTGAGAGAGTGAACTCTGCGTGGCCCGGTGGCCTCCCACTGACCTGCGGGATTACAGTTATCTCTGCTGATTGATCTGATTGATCAGATTCATCTCCACGAGGCTGCAATCCAGCCCTGCACACGCGGGGAGAGGAGAGCAGGGGAGGATTGAAACTGTCGGTGCTTTGTGCAAACAAATAGTTTTCCCTTTTAGCCCGTGGGTTGGTCCAGGCGGTCATGTGACGACATCTATCTGCTGCGGTTCTATGTAAATCTGAGTGTTATTTTGGTCCACCTGCATTGAAGGGTCACAATAGCCTTACTTTCTTGCCTTACTCTCTGATAGGTTTTCGCAAGTATAGTGCTAGTGGAAACTGCAAAAAAAGCATATAAAATGATTATTTGAAGCATCTGCAGAAACTGCATTCATATCAGCAATGATGTAGGCTACTAGATCATGAATGCAGACTATAGAGGCACATAAAGAATAAGAAAAAGCTGATTTTCTGTAAATAAAAAGGAAATAAAATAAACACCCATTAAAAATATGTCAGTTCATGGGATTATTATTGGGTTTAAACTTAATCCCAGCATTTTGACCCTATGAAACCAATATTATGACGCAAAAACAGGAATGTACAAGGATATGTGTGGACGTATTGAAACAGTCTGTTATAGAGTACTTAATTCATATGAAGGTTTTATGATTTGGAACCATGGTTTCCTTTCATACAAATAACTTATTTGAATGGTGAAGTTGATTTTTATTTCTTTCTGTTATGGAAGTTCTTTATTTTTGGCCAACGTTTCGGCTTCAAACAAGTGTGACAGAAAAGAAAAAAAGATCTGCAGTAGCATAGTGATGCAAAAACAGGAGAAATCGACCCTGTTCTAACAAATTACTCTAAAACATTTTAGATATATTTCGTGTAGTTATGGTTACAAATGATGAAAGTGTAAAGGCTAACTGCATGAATTAGTTAGATGCACATGCACTCATCAGAATTGGAGTTAATGAATAAATAAATAACCTTTTACATTTTTCAACACTTTCACTTCTACATTAATTAATGTGCTCAAACAGGTTTTATGTAGGCAGACACACCACTGGTAACCCTGGTAGAATCATGAGTAACAAGCATGTTTGCCATTTCTTCTATCAAGTTGTCTGATTAATGAGCCATTGTTAAAAGCAATAAATATAGGATAAAATCAAGAAAGCAGAAATAAACCTTTTAACCTGAACCTAAAGTGGAAGACAAAGATGTGTTGGATATATACAGTGTGTCCACATATTACAACTTTTTTTTTTTTTTATTGTAGGATTACTATACAGGGTTATTGCACAGGTAATTTATATGAATGGATTTTTATATATACATAAAGTTATTGCACTGGGTGTCAACTGTAGAGAAACAGGTTATTGCACAGGGTATCAAATAGTAAGTGATGTTTGTTGGTATTGTCTGCTTCCAGATTAAGAGACTCAGCTACCAAGCATGCTAACCAGTTTGACTATAGCATTAGCACTGTCATGGGTCACGTTAAAGCCGAACGCTAAATCAAATCTTTGCTCTAATGCAGAAACTTTCTCAACAATTTTTATGTCAATTCTTAATCTTTACTATATCTATTTATATATATCTAGAGAAGCACTCTGAGAGAGCAGACCTCCTCCAAGTAGCTACTTTAAGTTGATACCTGCATTCACAAAAACATGCAAATAATTCCTGGATCCAGATGGGGATTTGGATCACCACTTAAATTTAATGGATTGTTCCTCAGACAAAGGTGCACCCTT